CAAAATGAGGGCGAAATCTCTGGGTAGTGTCTTATCTACAAACCCATCTGCCTTCCAAAATTTACCCCGGAACTTAGTTCTTTAAAACTCCCCCGCTCAAGCAAAAGCAAACAATCAGAGAAGTGCGGCGGGGAGGCCGGGGCCGAATTTTCGGAGCCCACAATTGTTAAGCTTTTTGTGAAGTATGTATATATATATATATAATGGTATACTTCAATGGGTTATGTCTTGAGTAAAAATTATTATAATTTATAAAATGTAATATTTTGTTTCTTTGTTATGTTGTGTCCTAACTTTTTTCTTTTGATAATGATGTCTTATCACGGCTATGTTGAGTAATGTCCATGTATAGGGGCAGAATTAGGAAGAACTAAGGATGAGTAGTTGTCCGTCTTTTTTTTTTTTCATATTTGAAGAATAAATATTTTAGCTATTTTGCCCCTTCAATAAATTTATTTGCTCAAAATTCGAAGAAAAACATTTATTTTATATTTCAATCTTGAGATTATGTACTCCCCAATCATATTTTGCCTACTCTCAAAAGAGAGATTGATCGCCCTTGATGCAACTATGTGCTACTATAAGATTCATTTATTTTTGCAATTTACTAAAACTTCCCTTTACCTTGAAATCAGGCTTGTTTGATGATAACATTAATGAGATTACTGCTTCAGATGATCAAATTGCAAAGCGATTTAGTTCCTCATCTGATGAAAACCATACAAAAGGCAGCCACTTTCCTTCCAAGCTTCTTCCACCAAAGAACATCAAAAAAAGATCTCAGATGTTTACTGCTTCCAACCAATTTCCAAAGCTTCAAATCTTCTCTGCTATTGAAGCTGCAGAGAAGATTGCAGGCTGTGTTATCGATTTCCAAATCTAGCAGAGACCATAGTGTTAACTTGTACAGCACCAACTAATAATTTCAGGGGAGATTATGTAAGAAAATAATTTGGGCAGAACTCTATTAATAGAGATTTTATTTCCACGGTTCACTGCTTCCTGGTGATTGTTCCCCAGTAAAGCATAATTTTGTAACTTGAAGCTGTTTTGTAAGATGAAATCTATGTTAAGTTGAAACTCTTCCAGTGCTGCAGAACATTGTAACTTAATTTTTGTTCTTGCTGTGGCGTGCATTTTCTTGTAACTTAGTCCATCTGCAACCGGACAGTAAACAAGTGTATGCTGTCCGTCAAACGATCCAATCAAACGCTAAGTCGTCCATTAATCTCATGAAGTGAACAGTGCGACGCCAATATTGACGTCGCACTGTTCACCTATACAAAAAAAAAGGCTTACAGGATTTGCTGAAAAAACGCCCTAAAGATGAGAAAGACGGTTCATTTATAGCGAGATGATGAAGCGCACGAAAGAAAAGAAGAACTGGAGTTTGGTTAGAGTTGAATTACTGCATTTTGGAGTGAAAAATAGGCTTTTGAAGATGCCCTTAAAAGTAGCTAAAATGCATAATAATAGCTTATAATTTCAGCATATCTCAGTTTCCTGGTTTCAGTAAATGCATTATTTCAAAATTTTAAGATAATTTGATCAATTGGATGCAAAGTTTTCACAGTAAGCATGAGAAAATAGTTGTGATTTTTAGTGTCATTTTTCAAATGAAATGAGTTATTGATATACAATAAGGTTTACGTTTGGGAAATTTTTGGAAAAAAATTTATTACTTCTCAAAATAATTTTTTAATACAAAAATTTTTAATTTAAAAATTTTTTATACTAAAAAATTATTTTAAATTTTATTAGGCTCTCCAATATTTATTAATATTATTATAAATAGAAGTAATTAAATAATGGCATTACAAATCTACAATTGTAAATAGGGAAATTTACATACATACCATTTTAAACCATCATATTTATACATCTAACACCCAAAACTTCAATATTACATACATACCACCTTATATTATTTTAATATCAAATATATCACTCATATTTCATTCCTACCACTCATATATTTCATTTCTATCACTTATATTTGATATAAAAATGATCTATGGGTGGTATGTTTGTAATATTAAAATTTTATGTGTTAAATATATAAATAGAATAACATATGGTGGTATATATGTAAATCTCCCTCGTAAATATTGCATGTGCAAATATAAAGCCTAAAAAAAAATCTCTTGAAGATAAAGACGTGTTGAATAACCTTCACCTTCTCACCAATTCATGAGGCCTCAAGATAAGGCTACTAATATTCATAATAATGACAATAATTATTGATTAAAAAAAAAGTTGATGTCCATCCAACGAATTTTTATTAGGTCCAAACACCTAACGTAGATCTACATCCGGATGCCAATAAAATGACGCTACGGCCCGACAACCCCACCCGGAACAAAAACCCCATATTGCTATGTTCGCGTATTACTATGTATTGCTCGATATTGCTAGGTATTACTCGGTATTGCTAGGTATTGCTTGAAAATAACGAGAAATACTATTCTGTCAAGACCAATACTGAGCAATACCTAGCAAAACCGGGGTATTGCTCGGTATTGCTAGGTATTGATCTTGACAGAATGGTATTTCTCGTTATCGAGCAATACCGAGCAAAACCTAGCAATATTCTGGTCTGTACAAATCATCTAATACATAACAATATTGGGTTCCGGTCTGGGTCGGAACGTCGGGCCACACGATAAAGAGTAAGAGCACGTGACGACATTTTATTGGCGTCCGAATGTAGAGCTACGTCAGGTGTCCAGACCTAATAAAAATTCCCATCCAACAATCCTTACCAGCTTGAGCCTATAGAACATGGCGACTACAGTGAACTGAAAAATTACAATTAAATGATGTGAACATATTAGGAAAAAAATATCTACTCAGAATATTTCAGTATTTAGCATTCTATGGGGCTAATCATGAAAGGAAATTGACCAAAGCTATTTAACATGAAAAAACTCAAATTGTTTAAAACAAAATTGAAGCCTAAACTCACAAACTAATTAATTCTTTATTTCCCCCTTCCAAGTGAAGATATACATCAGAAAAAAAATCAACAGAGAAAACATAATACAAAATGATGCTGAAATGCAAGAATATGCATATATGTAGAATCACTGAATCAGTGGAAAACATGCAAACCAAAAACAATTTAAAGTAAAGCACAAATGGAGTCACCAAATTTTACAAGCTCCCTACTTTACTGATGGGTTTATTTGTCTTTGATTTGGCAATATTAACAAGATCACCAAACAGTTTATCCTCAGGCTTCTGTGGTTTGTTGTTCGACATTGGCAAGAACGATGACGAAGATGGCCTCGGATAAGACGAGCTAGAGCTAGTGTTCATGTATCTATTGTCTTGCATGGAGAGTCCATAAACTCTTTGAGAAAGATCATTTGGGTTTGGATATGGGTATACTTGTCCCATTTGACCATAAAGTTGTGGCTGCTGCAGTCCTTGTAAATAACCAGTCATTTGGATTCCATACATAGGTTGCTGAGGAATAGCAACAAATGGTCCTCCATGTATTGGAGGGTTATAGATACCTCCAGCTGGGTTAATCTGCATTTGCGGAAGATACATACCTCCAAACTGGTTGGGTTGCACAGTTTGAGGAAACATTCCCCCAGTTTGAGGACTCTGCATAGGCTGGGGCTGCAGCCCTGCTGGAAGGCCATTCTGCATAGCTGTAGGACTCTGCATCCCCGCAATCTGACTTGCTTGCATTGCTTGAGGAACTTGGTGATGTTGAGCAGGTACTTGATTAGTCTGCACTGGCTGAGATTCCCATGGTGGTGGGGGTAAATCTCCACCTTGATCATTCATACCTGCTGAAGAAAACAAGTTTTCACAATATTATGGTACATGCAACTGTAAATAAGAATGATGAAGAAAGCATAGGATGAAGGGATGAGGTACAATAAGATGCAGAGGTCCTTACCATAGCCAAATGATTGTTGTTGGCCATTCCAGGAAGGATTTGCATGATTTCTCTGCGTTCCGGTACCATAGTTTGCCTGCTCAAACTGAGATTCCGTTGCCGTCGGAACACCTTCATTGGAATAAATGGAAGGCTGTTGCAGGGACTGTTGCTGAAGCTGGGGTGGAGCAGCAGAAGGTGTCTGTGATGCTGGAAATGCTGCAGTGGAGCCAAAAGGAGTAGATTGATTGACATTGCTGTTGTTATTATTACTTTGAGGAAACATGTCCACAAGGGCTAGAATGTTCTGATTAGGTGAAGGAGAAGCTACTGGTTCACTGACAGGTACAAGGGCCAGTGAATTTGTAGGAGGTGCATTGAAATCTTCGCCACTCAGGAGGTCCATAAGAGGATCAACTTTCTTTGCTGGGATTGCAGAACCATTTGATGCTGGGGGAGCAGGTAATGCTAATTGCTCAAAAGGAGACGGGCTACTTGTGCTTGCAGAAGATCTGGAGATCACATAAATTATGCCTTGGGATATTTATGCAATATTATTTCAATATAATCAACTACATGCGAAGCACTAGAAATTTGCTAGAAACTGACATCCAGCCTTTGAATCATGTTGAGAAGTTGGATTATAAAACTTCACAGCAAATGCAAAATTCATCAGTAGAAGGGTATTTTAAGCAAATTGGTTAGTGATCAATATGGGTAGATTAGGCAGTACGAGGAAGATAAATTGTTCAAAGTTGGGTTAAAAAAGTTCACGTTACTGCAAGAAATGAACTACCTTTGCTGTGGCTGTTTGCTGCTATCTTTTGTGGTTGTTTTAGAATCATCAATATCAACGAGTGCCTGAAGAGACTTAGGTTTCTCTATGCGAACAGCGATTCCAGCAGCAATGGCGTCATGTTTTGCCAAAACACGTTGCAGATCATCATTAAGAGTAAGCCCTTGGGAAAGTAGCTCCTCATCCCTAAAATCATATAAAACAAATAAGCAAAAGGCATTTTAAAATGCTAACCAAAAGTTTTAAAATGAATCATAGCATTTTAATTTGTATGAATGTTAAATTCATGGATCTGAAAATGTCCAGGTCGTAAAGGAATAAGCTATTACGAGGTTGAATTCACAAGCTGCATCACTCTTTGCTTGTAAGAACGACATTGCTCAACAAGATCAACAATAACCTCCTGCCGAAGACCCTGCAAATTGGCAAAGGCATGTTTTAGAATTTTTTAACTGGTTACAGCCCAAGAGAGATTTCAATTTAGGGATAAAATGCAATCAGCTCTGATTAGCTGTATCATGAATGTTCCTTAACAAGGAAAGTCGCATATAATTCAGACTAGACTAATAAGATATACAAATCCCACACAGAAATAGCTCCTTTTAACTTCATAAAAATGTATTTGAAATTATTTTTTATATTAGATGTTATACAATAATTTCTATATTTATTGCATAGGTTATTTCAAAGATAAAATTGATAACTTGTTACGTTATTTTGATAACATGATACACTGATGCATGTAATAAAATATTAGTTTAAATGACTAAAAGTTATTACATTTGGAATTTTAATGTCAATAATACTTAAAACTAGCCTTCGGATTCATTTCAGCATTACAATAACTAGTTGATAAAAGTCCTTTTTCACTTTGATTATTTATATTAATTAATTATAAATTAGATTGATAAATTATTGAGAGGATCTACATATGATATTGAGAGGTTTGATGGAGAAGTATAGAGAGAATAAGGAGGATCTACATATGATACTTATTGATTTAGATAAAACATATGATAAAATTTCAATAGAAGTGCTATGGAGAGTTCTAGGAAAAAAAAAGGTTATTAATGCTTATATTCAAATCATTAATGATATGTATGTAGGAGATGTTGTTACTTATGTTCAAACACAAAGTAGTTTGACCAAGAATTTTCCTATTTCAGTTGGATTACACCAATGATTAGCCTTAAGCTACATCCTTTTGCTTTAGTCATGGATGTTCTCACTAGACATTTACAAGAGATTGTATCCTGGTGTATGTTTTTTGTTAATGATATTCTTCTTTGTTGATAAGACTAGAGAAGAGTTGTGATAAGACTAGAGAAGAGTTGTGAAGATAAACTTGAATTATGGAGGGCTTTCATTTGAGTAGATCTAAAATTGAATATATAGAGTGTAATTTTAGTAACAATAGATCTAATAGAGGAATTGTGACTTTGGGTGATCAAGTCATTAATAAGAGTACACATTTTTTATATCTTAAGCCTATTTTTCAGAGTGATGGTGAAATAGATGGGGATATTATTAGTAGAATTCAAGTTGGATGGTTGAAGTGGAGGAATGCATCGGGCTTGTTGTGTGATAGAAAAGTCCCCCTCAAACTGAAGGAAAAATTCTACAAGATGGTGGTTAGACCTGCAATGTTTTATGGTGCAAATTGTTGGCCATTAAAAGAGAAGCAACAGAGATGAGGATGCTCAGGCTTTACTCTTAGAGACTGGATACAAAACGAGCATATACGTGAAAACGTTGGTGTAGCTACGGTGTAAGATAAGATTAGAGAGAGTAGCTTTAGATGGTTTGGTCACATAAAACGATGGCTTTCCGATAACCCGATTAGTAAAGTAGATTTATTAGATTTAACTTATGTTAAGAAAGGTAGAGGTAGACCTTAAAAGACTTGTTTAGAAAATATTAGAAATGATCTTTTTTATCAGATTTAAATGGGAATTTAACTCTTAACATGACACAATGAAGAAAAAGGATTCATGTAGCCAACAACCCCAAGTAGTGAGATAAACGCTCGATATTGTTGTTGTTGTATTGATAAATTATTGATTATATATATTAAAAAACCTTACTTTGAAACATCTTTCATCTTCTATTAGACTTTGGCGGGAAACCTCCTAAATCAATAAGATGATTAACGATTAATTAAATATTCCTAACAAAGTTAATCAAAATTGATTATGAATTCTATTAAAATAAATATATTCAATTTAATGATATTTGATAATTCTAAATATGATTTAAAGGCCCCATAATATCATACTAATTAAAATGTATTACTAAGTTAATAACGCTAATAATCGAGCTCATCCAATTATCCAAACTATTAGGCTCAAAAGGGTATTTTCATTAAATAATAAATGATGAATAAAACAAATTATTTTAGGGTTTAGTGGTTCTTAAATGCTTTGGATGGTCATACATTATTATGAATGTTTATATGAAATTTCTATAAAGAATATAGAAAGTTGTGAATTATTTACATAGTGACCATTTTACCATTATATTACAAAAGTTTTCTTTTAGTAATTATAAAGTGGGCATACATGACTAGTTCACCTCCCAACATTGTGGTCATCCGTACCCATCTTTGATTCATTTATACACCCAAGCTAAATCGTGACAATAATGATGAGCACATTATCTTTTTTTAATATATTAAATATTTAAAATTAATGTAAATTTGTTATTATTTAGACAAGAGAAATTGAGTATCAAATTGACTATTTATATTAATTAATTTAGAATCATTTTAATAATTAAAAGATTACATGATATATATATATATACATAATATTGAAATTTAATAGAGGTGCCTTGACAATGCTTTCATGTTGACTTTTAAATGAACAATACTTCATTTTACTTTAAAAAGAAAATAACAATTTAAAATTTTGGAGAGGGCTCTATTTTGAAGTGAAGTCCCTTGAGTTTTTAAGAAACTCTCGATTTGAAATTTTATAATATTTATATTGATAGGATAATAGATAGATTTGATATAAGTGATATGACTGTTTTTTATGATTATTCTTAAATATATTTTTTAATTTAAGGGGTTTTTTTTTAAATCGGAGATGGCTCTTTTTTGAAATGGAGCACTCTTGTTGTTTGAGTTTTTGGGAGAAATTTGCCTTTCATTGCTGCTTTACATTCAGAAAATTACAATTCCTTCAGGAACCAAATAAAATAATTGTTTTAAGGTAGTAGCATAAATTTAAATTTCCGCATCGACTAACCTCTCTATTTCCGGGATCTAAAGCATTTAGCATCTCTGCAAGTACATCCATAATACCACGAGCATTCTGAATTTCTGTAACACTGAAAAGATACATGCTTCTGAATTCAGATAATGTTCTTTGACTAGGAAAGTGATTAGGCAAATGTAAAAATTATCAAACTCAAAAATATTGCATAATTAAAGCCAACTAAATAGAGGATTATAAGATAAATCCACATTTACAGTCCTACTTGCAACCAAATAGTGCCTGAAATTTAAAGATAAATAAATACACATGCGCACACAAACACAGACGCATGCAAATATGAATACACACATACATACATGCACGCAGAAGACACGCATATACACATACATATATATGCATCCATCCATACATACATACATATATTTATACATAGCAGTTAGGCAATTGGGCGTATTAGCTTTTGATCATGCGAGTATAATCAACATATCTATCTATAATCAAATCTACAAAATTCCAATCATTAAGGAAAAATTCCTGGCCAGCCACTTTCTTGTCTCTCAAAGGCAGTTTGTTTAAAGTTCTGGGAGTTCGTCCACATTTGTTTTGATGTAGTGATCATACCTTCAACAGCTAAATCTCAGTTTCAAGGTAAGAAATTGATTCCGTTCTTGTAAGGGAAGAATCCACTTTCAATGTTACTTTGTTCCAATAAAATAAAATTAAATAATATTAAAAATAAACAAAGTATTTTAAACTCATATCATGTCATGAGCATATTCCACCATATATTTCTCACCCTTAAACCCCATCATTAAACATAATATCAAGACTGTTTGACCTCTTTGACATCATCAAATCTAGAACCATAAACAACTTAACGATATTTAACAATCATTTTCTCAACTGTTAGATGCATCCAATATTCTTGATGGTTGGCTTGGATCAATTAAGAAAAGATTAGTAATTTCCAAAACTGCAATGTTTCAAATGGCTTGGAAATATCATCCACGAGTTATTCATGATAGTTAGAACATATTCACCAAACATGAGATTCATTTTAAATAGTAATTTCCATGTGAAAATTACACATTTTGTCCAATATTCATTGTTTTAACACATGCTAAATGGGTGGTTAAATCAGCATGGAACATCAACTAAACAAAATTCAGTAATCTCTCATGGTATGTATCGTACCAAACGGCAAAATCCTAATCATAAGCATAGTAACTGTGATAAAAGTAGAGGCATTTTAGACTATCAAGCTATCTAGCATAGGGGTGTCAATATTTGACACGACACGAAAACCCGACCCGGAAAATCCGGCGCGCGCTCGCCCCACGCTACAGCTCCGCGCCCGACCCCCGCGCGACAGCTCCGTGCCCGACCCCGCTTCGCGACCGCTCCGCTCGACCAGCTTTCCCGGGTCGGGTCGGGTCAACCTGGCAACCCGCCGGGTCGGATCCGGGTTCGCATTTCCGACCCATTTACCTAATCGGGTCGGGTTAGGGTCGACCTGTTTGAACCCGGGTCGGTTCCGGGTCCGACCCGAACCCAACCCGTGACCCGAAATTGACACCCCTAATCTAGCATTACCCATCCAATTAAAATAATGAAAACAAAATTATTATTTATACCAGTTGATTCCTTGAAAATTTCTAAATAAATGCTAAATTTTTAATTTCAACATTTCAAAAATCATTTCAAAAATCATTCAAATTCACTTCTTTCGTCATTTCCATGTAGAGTCCAACATTTTCATGAGCAACCTCAACAAATATTCTGATAAAACAGCAAGATCAAGTGAAATATCATAACAATCTTTTTTTTTGGTCACCCGCGCACAGAATGCATTTTACCAAATCCACCCCTGTAACTAGGTGAAGAATCCTCAAAGAGTATCCCTGGATTCTAGTGTCATTTATATTTTTATTGCCATAATTTAAAATCATAATAACTTGATGTATTCGAACTACTATTGACAAGTTTTGGAATGTAAGTTACAATAGCATGCCATCTTGCATTCTTGTTGGACTTAACTCATTTGCATGCCACCTATTAAGGGCTGGCAGACAGCACAACACAAGCATAAAAAGAAACGTGTCGTTATAAGATCCTCCTGTCAATATAATATGCTTAAAAAAAGTCCATAAGAAAGAAACTATACCTCAAGGTAGGAAAATCAGGTGGGGCAGAAGACTCAGATAAATCTTCTCCATAGTTAGCATTTCTCAAATTTGGAGGATAGCTAGTCAACGGCTGTGTTTGTGGAGGAGTAAAAATAGGTGCAGACCTCTCAGACCTTTGAGGAAACACAGCACCAAGCCGCTGAAGAATAAGCAAATCTTACATGAGAAAATATTAATATTATAAGCCTGGAATTAAAAAAAACAAAACTTTAAGTATTGCTAGGAAAGTAATTAAAACGGTACAAAAAACAAACTATGCAATTGGTGGATATCAAGCAGGCGTGTGCAATTGCAATTCACACATGAACTGCAGAATAGCACTTATTGAACAGAACACAGAATCAAGCAATACCAATAACTCCTGATATGCTACATAATACTGTGGATATCTAGCCCGTGAGCCACCAAAAGCTTCCTGCCATGTGTCTATCAATACCAATATCTTTTCCTTGACATGAATATCAGGGTTCTGCATCAAAAGAAACAAGAAATTACAACCATCACATGAACCATGCATTAAGCTGAAGCTTTAAATGATATTTCACAACCTTTTTCTTCACTATCTTCACCATTTCATGGAGTATGTCTTTCTCCGCTACTTGCAAGTGGACTATATCCCCACAATTCTTTATAACCGTCTCCAGGAGCTGAGTTATAATTGACAAACAAATAATTTGTTATTAAATTAGTCAAGGAAATATGCATCTCTGCCTGACATGGATGAAACATAATGCACAAACAACATTTGAACATGCTTGAAAGAAAGAAGGCATAAAGAAACTAAGATATGATTTCATTGAGTATCAATTAACAAGCCTTGTGTAAAGATATATTGTCTGCCATTAACCATGATGGCCTGAAGAGATTAGTAATTATTCATTATAAGTAACAGGTTCATAACCTTAAAACTATACTATTAAAAATCACCTGGCAAACGATTAACAGACTCATGAACATGATGTAAGGCAAATGGTTAAGAAATACTTGAAGTTCACAAGTAAAACCTCATGATCTTAACAAAAACAGCGAGAACGATCCACAAACTCAGCGAGAATGATCTAATGGAAAAACCAGAAAATAGTAGTTTTTATTACAATAATCAAACTAATGGAGGAAAAATAGCAAGATACAATTGATCCTCTATTTAAGAGAAGGATCTATCTCTCTCAAATCTCTAGATGCCGCTAGAGCCTAAAAACCTAAGAGATCTCAAATTTCAGCCAAATTCAAGATGCCCTAAGCCTAGGAAAACAAACTATTTAATGCCTACAATTCAAAAGGAAATCTCTAAACAACCCCTACTTCAAAATTTCCCTCCCAACTCCCTTCAAAAATCTTCCTAAACATGTATGTTGGTTCATGCGGTTCGATCAGCAATGTAGGAGTGGTGGAATTCTTCCCCCTCTTGTCTCCGTGAGCCGGTCAGTCCTGTATGGACCAGCTAGACCGGTTCATTGGACCGGTCTAACACAAATTTACTATCGAAATTGGATTGGGACAAACTTATCTACCGTTGAATGTCAAACTCAACTGAAGTTTTTACTAGCTTGCCAGAGGTGTCTTAATTAAAAGAAGAGTAAAATCAATAATGTGTATCACACTTGGACAAGTTTTTTCAAGTATTTTAGTCGCTCTTTGATCCAAGCCTTCACGAACAAACACAAGGTTTTCCTTTGAACACTCAAAACCAGCACTCCGCTCATCTACTCATCACTGCTGTATGCTCAATCCATTGCTAATGAGAGGCAAAAGACATGCAGAGAGATAAAGACTAGGGTACAATTCGAGACCACATCAGATGAGTCTCAATGAATCAAGAAGCAAGGCTTAGTACTAACATCAATAATAAAAACAACAATAACATAAAGCCTTTGTCCCACTACGTGGGGTTGGCTACATGAATCATTTTTTTTCCATTGTGTCCGGTTAAAAATCAAATTCTCTAAGGAGACAGTGAAATTGGGGAAGAAGGGAGTATAAGGATGACTAAAGAGCCATTTGGGCTCAAGAAAACCAATCCTGGGATGCCTTTTAGATAAGTCCACCTCAGCCTTGCCATCATCAATGTGAGTGGAACACCAACATTTGTGCTGCCTAATAAACAAGAAGCTAATGGGTCAAGCTTCCTCCCTCACACTCCCTTTTTAACAAAAAAATCACATCTTTTCTTCCACCTAGATGCATTTCTCTTGACACTCGAGGATGGGGAAGTGAGAGAGCAGGGAACCTACGTTGCTTTGGAAGATACAACTCTAAATATTGTCCAAGCTATAATGGTATCTTAACTACAATATGGCTGAGATAGAAAGAGAACTCACAAAGGATTTGCTGAAAAAAAGAAAGAAAGAAAGTGAACGACACTTTTATGGAAGATGTTTCGCATAGTTTGATAATTAACTCGAATGATTAGATTAATAGTAAAATAGAGTTACTAAATGTGTAGCAAGCCTTAGTCTAAAGTAACTGTGATGGGGACATCATGGAAGGTTTATCAGAGGCGTGGCCGCCAATCTACTGCCACGATTGAGTCATTGTATTTTTGATTTATTCTATGATTTTCTTATTTATGTTGTCGCATTTTATTTGCTTTATTTAGTTTCCCGTTGTACCCTTTTATTAAGGGATGTCGTATGTAAGCCCTGGGGGCATTTGTTGTCTTTTGTCTTTAAGTCATTTGTATGAGGCTTTATATTGCCCTCCTTGTTCTCTTTAGGGGAATGAATGAATGTTTATCAAAGAAAATTTCTACACTTTATTTTCTAGTGAGAGCTTGAGAATCATGGAGAAAGATCCCTAGGAGAGGGATGAATCGCGCATCACCCACCAACCTAGATAAGTCAAGTTCATGGTTCTACTTCCCTATCTTCTTTTTCCCCTTCCCCTCTCCCACTAGCCGCCGGCCTAGAATCTCCCCGAAATCCCTAAGCCGCCGGCCACCCTAATTCCCCACTCCCACCCATCGGTTAAGCCCAAACCCCACCACCATCATCCACGGCCAAACCGCCAACCTGCCGACCCCTCCTCTTGGTCCTTCTCTCCATCATCAATTTGTCATTAAACCTTTCCTAAATTAGCCTTTCATATTTTAGGTAACTCTATTTATGAGTAAATTCGAATCCATTTGAATTTCAAATCGTTACCTAAATTATAATCCGATTTTAGGCAACTTCCTAATTCAAAGCCTATTTGAATTTAAATTAAATTGGGATGAATCTCTCATTCCAATTTTAATTTCTTAAGTTAAAGAAAGCATTGAATGCCTCCATAATTCCCTCTTACTCCCAATGTCGTCGGCCCCATAGATCTCCATTGTAATTATTTCCTAAAATCACTTCACCCTTTTGGAAACAATTCAAACCACAAGCCCACCTCTTTTGGCCGAAAGCTCCTAATATCTCTTCTATTTAATTTCTTCCCAAAAGAGGATCTCTCTTATTGGAAGCAAATTAAATCCCCTTCCCTCTCTTGCTTGGCCGCCGCCCCCTCTCCTCAATATCTTCCTCTAATTATTCTCAATCAAGAAAATAATTAGGAGGTGTTTGAATTGAACTTTCCCTCCATCTAAACCTCCTAAAACCTGAAATAATTTTAGCTCCTCATCCCTCCCTCGTGGCCGGCCACCCCTCTTTGCCCCATCTCAAAATTTTAGAGAAACTTTTTCCTCTTCAACAGGATTCAAGTTTGCAAGTAATTCTTGAAGGAAATCAGCAATTAGCATTGATGAATGACCGATCCCGATACTGATTACGGACTTGTTTACGACGACACGGGTTTGTGCACATTCTCCACTCAACCTTCTTCGACGTCAACCCGAGAATTGACCATACGGTGGAAGACTACCTAGAGCACATCTTGGACACCTTGGTTGAAGCTATTGAAGAACAACATGAGATCATTGAGTGGAGGATTGCTGCTAATCCTTGACGGAGGTTCTACTTTTCCCTCTTCTTGTATTTCTTAAGCCTAACCATTTCTTGTGATTTGATTGTAGTCACGAAGGACGCCTTCGCCTGTTTCTGCTAAGCTTAGTAAACGTAGGAATTTGAGCATATTCATTTGCTTAATAATCTCAATGTTAGACTAGGGATTTTGTTGACACTATTACTTTGGCATGATCTTAATTTCTTATGACATTTTGAAGCTTCAAATCTTTTGTTATGCAACTTAAGCCTAAACAGTAGTGACCCCTCTTACGTTTTGATTTGTCGTTTTATTTGCTAATAAATTTATTTGTTATTTCTCTAATCAAGAAGTTGTGCAAAATCTTAACAAAAATCATTGCATCCATTTTAGTTCTACATCAAATTGCTATAGAGGAAAACTTGTGTTGTGTTTCTGTGTTTGTGAGGGATTAGAAAGGACGCCGCCAAATGGTGGAAAAAAGGAAAAATATACTAGTCCCAAGAAAGAATACACATCCCTCCACCTTGTGAGAATCCTCAAACGCAGATTGAGTAAATATATTCCAATTATTTTCCATGAATAAAATAGAGATTCAAACAAGATTCATTTTAATTTTTGGGTCGAAATTTCAAAGAAACAAGCCCCCATGATTAATTACAACCAAACACCCAATGCATGGCCCCTGTGATCATGACAAAGTCCAATCAACGTTTAAAGCTCTCACGCTCTCTCTTATACACACTAATATGACACATCTAGCAAACTTGTCACTCTCTAAGAGAGCAAAAAAAAAACTAAAACTTGAACCAAACAAAAAAACAATCAATCATTTTGAGTTTGATTTTGTTACGGTGTGGAAATTTACATAAAATGAATATTTATTTCAGTTTAGGTTTAAGGTTTCAATAAACTGAAAAAAAAAAATCGAACCAAATTATGCTAATGCATGATCTTTTTTGACAAATATAATCAAACAAACATGATTTCTCCCAATTTTACAGCTTACATTCTTTTAATTTACTGAAGAAAAAAAGATCCGAACCAAATTATGTTACTACATGATCTTCTTTTTAGTAATATAATCAAGCATAAATGATAAATTCCAATTTTAGAGTTTATAAATCATCATTATTACAAGTACTTGCGAAGTAAAGCTAAATTGAACCAAATAAAACCAATGAAAATTGCAACACTTATAGTTTTTCATCCTTTGGTTTAGCATAGTTACAATTTTAATCAATTTAATTTCAGTTTTCACTTTTGATGCTTGAGTCAATTTGATTCCAAATCATAGTTGATTTGAAGACAAACTAAACTAAATTGATGAGTTGACTAGTTGGTTGTGAATTGATAAGTGTGTGAGCAGGTGTATCTCACACGCACAAACAACTAGCCAAATCATCAACTAGTTATTCGACAATTCAGCATAGTCGTCACCTAGTTCAACAATTTAAGTTATCTCACATTTATTTGAGAAGAGAAGAAAATGTGGATTGACTAACAGTACAACAAGATAATCTTCCTCTTCCACATAGTATTTTTTTTAAATTGGAAAGGGATGGTATTTCTCTTCCAGCTGCTGCTTTATTTTTTCTGCCTCCATTGAACAATTTGTTCACATATTAACCTGAATTGAAACATTAAACAAAAAGAACCTGCAAACCTAGTTGGATTGGATTGATATTAAACTGGTTTCACCACCTAGTAACCAACTAAGATTTAGATCGCTCTATTCAGCCCAAATTTAACAAAATCCCACCCCATTTTTTACCATAAGATTAAGCAAAGATATCACAAATATTTGCAGTAGATGTTCTCATTCAAAAAGCATCCAACAAGCATACTAATCAAAATTGTCTTCAAAGTAGAAAGCACATTATAGATAAGCGTAAAGTGCATACCGTTAGTGCAAGAAGCTGAACCTTTGGATTCTTGCTCACAAGTCGTTTTTTTATGCCTTTCACAACATCTCTCGCTTGACTGCAAACAGTGCAAAATATATAGATATAGTTATTAAAGAGAGTGCTCATCAACATTGAGAAGTAAACACAAATCACCTTGGTCTGTTGGTTGTGAGCTTTGGCTATCAACCAAAAGTTATTAGGTTCGAGTCTTGCATATGTGATGTGTGTATAAATGTGTCTTAATTGACCTAAATATTCCCCAAAAAAAATATTGAGAAGTAAACTCAGCATAATAATGGTCTCTACATGTGAAGTGGAATAAAGATGCACACAGAATAGTGTAAACTTATGTGCTGCAGGGATTATTTCTCCAGATAAGCACAAAAATGATCTAGACCTCCCCAAAGAAGTCGTAAATAGATGTCTGCTAATCCAACGTTTTTAAATTCTTCCACAGAGAGAGGAGAACAAAATATATTCAAGTATGCGCAACACTATAAAGTAGGATGCATTCCCACTCTAGAACTTGGGTCATTTGTACAAGCTAGAAGCTTCCATCTGTAAGCTCATCAGGCAATAATATTAGTTGTTAATTAGGCAATTGTAGATCTGCGAGTTGCACGAAGGAGACAGGGCCAAGTACTGAGTTAATTTTGACCCACAAATGGTTCAACATCTAGAAATCAACCCAACCCTAGAAATGCCCAATTCAAGAAAGTAAGCTTGAAATAATTGTACATAAATGGATGTTAGCATAAATGATGCAAAACGTGATACTTCAAACCCAAGATTTATCATTAAAACTTGCAATGTGCTTGAAAAATCCATATCAAATTGTACACACAATAGTTTGCAAGATAATTTAAATTGTATTCAATTATTCATTGTAAATTATATGCCGTGAAGATCCTATTTATAACTTAAACGACCCAAAATCAACAAGTTCTCAATTATCCAAAACCTCGTAAAATTTTGTAAGTTTAAATTTCAGAAGCATTAGATCCATTAATACAAAAATTTCCAATCACAAAAGAGCAAAATTCAATTCGGTTATAGTACTGAAACTGACCGAAGGAGCAAACAATCAAAACTACCACAGAAGGAAGGCCAGTCTAACTCCACAGAATTCAGGATTTCATAACGAAAAGGAATGCATCTACAGCCAAATAAGATAACTGACTTCCCTGCACAGAACTAGATCATATATAGCAGGGTATTAAATAATTTATCCTAGGTACGGTAAGAAGCCGTTAAAAAGCTGCATTTCTAACAGCGGAACTGGCCTTGCTAACAATATAATCAGCAGAGTAAAATAAGGAATGCCACTTTAGCATTTGCAAATAGTGCAAGCTGCCAACCAACCTAGACATAATATGGAAACAAAAGTACAGCCACCTCAGGAGAAACAGAAACACTAAAAAATCCAATGAATGCTAGATTGAAATAACATATAGTAGTAAACCATTCCTATCAAGGTAATCAAATACTAAAGAACACATCAAAATCACATGAGATCCCTATGATGGGCATTTTTTATAACAAATCAAGATATATTTAAAAACTGACATAGGGACAAAAAAATCAATAAAAACACATGATCTGTCTTTTCAATGAATAAAGACTTTGGGATTTGTATCACTCAGCCAAGCTTGAAAAATTTGGCTCCGGCAGATGAAGTGTTAGATATTTATATTGTGAATTTGGGCAAAACTATGATGCTTCGCATGGTAATTCATGAATATCACAATTAAGTTTGACATCACAAAACACAATATGATCCTCATATCTATCATTAATAGTGGAAGCATAGATAGCTTTTAGAACAAAGTTAGCAGATGATGCAGAACAAATGCAACTCAGCATGGTATGAATATAATTAGATTGATCACATCAGTAGTCCTTAAAATATTTACAGGTGAGTACTGTAAACATGCAACTAATATTGAACACACATATAATAACAAGAACTTGATAAGAGTGGCATTATCCAAGTTATTGATATGTTAACCATACTAGATGTTCAATCCCGATAAAAGTAAAGAAGAAATAAAAATATATGAACGACTTAACCTATAATGAATTTAAGATAATCAATAGCGAAGCGGGGATAAGTTGAAATCGACCTCTAAAAGAGTTTCATCATCACTATGATCTTGTTCCTTCCTTAGAAGTTCTTTTTAAGAGCCGGGAACTCATACACGTAAGCAGTCCTTCACTTGGGAGTAGAAGCACACAAAAGTGTAGAAAACTACATAAGATACTTTTATCGCAAAAGCCAAGTACCTAGCATTACAAGAGGCCACCTATTTATATAAATGACAGAGAGACTAACAGACACACGCCTACCACCAAATTCAAGCATACCATCATTATTTCTATACCTACCATCACAACCATAAGTATCAACATTACTATGCCTACCACCATTACCCTAACTACTACCATCACCATACCTATCACTATTATCATACCTACTACAAATCCTAATAACATAAGCACCTAACATGGGTTGCAACATAAGAAAACAACCCATTATAACATCGTGACACAAAATACTAACAACACTCAATACATATAGACTCAAAATATCATGAAAGAAAGGTCCAAAAGTATTAAGGTCCAAGATTCAACTATGTGTGGTACACAAATATTAGATTATAGGATGACAACAACGATGATGATGATGATGATGATTTGCATTAGCACTCCCTAACTTCAAAAGATTCTCCTTTGGAGGATGAAAATTCTAAAAAACCTAGAGTAATTGTGGGTTCAATTGATGTAACTACCAAAAGTAAGCCATAAATCCTCCATGAATACAATCCTTGCCAACAAACCAGGAACCTTTGAATGCCTCCATCAAATGTGATGATAATCTAGCCATCAAAATTTTGGCTAAGATGGTTGGATCTTATGCGACAAAACGATAAAGGGGTCGACAAAGGAACATCAACATGCATGTTAGTACTATTTGCAAATGGAGTAATAACATCTTAGGCTTCTCCATAGTACAACATTATATCTAACACATCCATAGGAAGATTTATCTAATAAATATTAACATTTATCTTTCTCACAACTTTATAGGAATCAGATTAAGAGTTGATTTTTTAAGAGCTTCAACTAGAAATATTTCTTTTCTAAAGAGGTAGAGGAATCCCAAGGCTATTATGGTGCAATTTTCTTTGACTTAGCAAGATTTAGCACAAATTGCTTGCAGTGAAACATAAAAGCATGTGTGTTTGACCATCCATAAATTGTAGCACCCAAATAAAAAACCAAGTTCATCTTAGGAGTATGAGGGAAACATCCATATAATGACCATCACACCAAATCTTATCAATATATTGTTCTAGTTGAATGGCTATAATACAATAATGGGTGATAGAGATGGAGGTCTTATCAGCCCAAGCAACTTTATATGGTTATGTGTGAGGCGTCAAGGTAAGCTTCATCCTAACCAAAGCAGATGTAGTTACTACAACGACTATACAACTGCCACTAAAAATAATCAATTTACATATATTGTCTTTGCTCTTAAAATAAGTGTGAAAAATTGACGCACCTCCAGTCTATATTAGCTGCATGATAACAAGATGAGACCTAGGGGAGTGAGCCAAGCAGGCTCATGAGCCAACTCAAAATCCACTCGTTAATAAGCTCACGAGTCAAGCTTATTGAGCAACGAGTTTGAGCACGATCCTATAGTCGAGCTCATATATTATACGAGCTCGAGCTCGAGCTTAGCCTAACTCAACTCGTAAGCTCGTTGAGCTACTCGTTAATGAGCTCGAGTATCCATTCCAAATTTGCATGCCAATTTTTGAAATATTGTTCCTCATAACCTTTTAGTGAGAATGCCTTCAAGTTGGCCATTCATGGTGACAAATGAAGTGCAAATTAAACTGTTATATAACTTCTTTATAAAATGCCTATTCAATTCAATATATTTTATTTGGTCATATTGCATGGAATTATGTGTGATATTGATGACTAACTTATTGGGACAATATTCTCATAGGACATCTACATTCAACATTTACAAGTTTTAGGATAATTCCTAGCCATAACAATTTGCATATTTCTAGTGTCATAGATCTAAATTCGAATGTTTTGCTTAACTTTGTCACCACACATTGTTTTTACTTCTCCAAGTCATGAGGTTGCCCACTATAGTTTTAGGAATAATTCCTAGCCATAACAATTTGCATATTTATAGTGCCATAGATCTAAATTCGAATTTTTTGCTTAACTTTGCCGCCACACTTGTTTTAACTTCTCCAAGTCATGAGGTTGCCCAATAAGAATGTGAGAAATCCCAAAGTTGATCTCATTTCAACCATAGATTCTGCATACCCGATACCTATATATCTTCAAGTATCCAATCCCCCCCCCCAACATAAATAAAATTTCTTTATCAGGAGTTCCTAGGTACAGTTCTAAAACTTGACTTACCACACAAACAACATAGGCAATATCAAATCTAGTATATGATAAGTAGAAAAGTTTTCTCACAAGTCTTTGATTGGAGTTTTTTCAATAGTTGTATCTTCTGGAGCATCTTCAAATTTATGAATAAATTCTATGTGGCTCTAACAGGCATGAATCCAAACTTCCCTGTTTCTTTTAATAGGTTATATATTTATGTTGTCATAAAAACATTTCATGTCTAGGGTATGCAATCGTAATCCTATGTACTTTAACTTACATAATTCTTTAACTTCAAATTCTTGGAGCACACACTTGTTTGAAGTATCCATACCTTTCAATCACAACATGTTATCATGATGTTTTTGACATAAAATAATAGTGCAGATACCAATGTTTTGAAAACCGGACCGGACCGGCCGGTTCAACCGGTTCAAGAGTATAATATATATTATAAATTATTAATATTTAAAATTTATATATTATATTAAAAATTATTCTTATAAATATATTATTTTTAAATGATATTTATATTTATAATTTTTTATTATATATATTTTTAAATTTATAAATATTATTAAATGGTCATATATTTAATTATTTATATTATATTAATGATCATAAATTTTTTATATTATAAATTTATAT